ACAGACGGTTGAGAACCACCAGCCCTGTCCCACCAAGCCCACTCGGTCCCACACTCGAGGAGCTGACACGTGTGCCCGCCCTCCCCGCCCGAGGCTCTGCCTACCTTCAGCTGCAGGACCAGGTCCATCCGGTACTTGCAGAGGGGGCTGATGTCATTAAGGATGAGGGCTGTGATGATGTCGATCCCGTTGGACTCGTGCGTCACGATGCAGCTCTGCGGGAGCAATGCAACGCGTTATCCCATGATGCTGCCAGTCCTCCCAGCTTCACCCTCCAACACAGCCCAGGTCCGAAACGGTGCCCTGCCTGCAGCACCCCGCCCGATTACCCCGGGAGCCCCAAACCCCATCTCCCTGGCAAGGGCACCGTTTGCACCACTGTATTATTTAACCCCAATTGCATCACCATATCGCCCAGCCAAGCAGTAGCCCGTAACCCGTGCAGCATCCCTGTGCACCCCGGCATCCTCTGCTGCCCACGTCCTGCTCCTGTTCACACCCTGAAACCAAAAGCTGACCCTGTGCCTGCTGCTTTCCCATGCATCCCCCCCAAACCCTCCCCTGGGCATCCCCGATCCGCGGTGAAACGCCCCAGGCACGCCGGGAACGCCCCAGACCGGCGGGGACACCCACAGACCTGGTTCTCGTGGCAGGGCCCCTGGCAGTACTCGGTCAGGGTCTCCAGGGTCTGGGTGATGAGGGCCACGTTGTACTCGTTGATGTAGAGGCCCAGCAGCCCCAGCCCCCCCGTGGTGCTGCCGCACATGATGTCAAGGAACTGCAGCGTCTCGCACACCAGGTTGTAGTTGGTCTTGTTGTTCTGGCACCGGAGGAAGTTCTGTCGAGCAAAGCATGCCACAACACCAAAAGTTATCCATAAGGGATGGTGCATTTGCAGATGGGGAAACTGAGGCACGGCGCCTGGTGCAATGCCTTTTTGGCCCAAGCCGAGGCAGAGCCCAGCCTTCCCGCACCCCAGGCCCCTGTCCTGACCCCCAGTCCCCAGCAGCCTCCGTAACCAACCTGCAGGTCCCGGTTGTGGTTCTCACAGAGCAGCTGCAGGAACCGCAGGATAGGCTCCATGATCAGGACCGTCACCCCCATTTCGTTGTTCTGACCCTGCTCCCCAGTGTCGTGGCCCTTCCGAAACCCTATGGCCATCGGGTATCGGGAGGGGGTGCCAGGCATCAGGAAGGTGTCTCCCCGTCCTAGAGGGCAATCCAACCTCGTTAGCATCGGGCTACCCGGCCAGAGAGACATTGGCTCTGCTGAGGGCACATGGCCCCATACCTTTGGAGACAGGGTCAGGCTCATCTTTGTCCTCACGAGGCTTGTTCCCGATGTCGCTCATGTTCACAGACACCGTAGACTTGGTCTCCTGCTGTGCTTTCTTCATCCGGTCATGCAAAACTTTGAAGAACTTCTCAGACTTCTTGTCACTTGTCATGAGGTTGTAGAAGGATTTCTGGGAGGAGGGAGGACAGATGTTCAAGTCTCCATCACAGGGTCCAAACTGTCCCTGCTGGCCCCTCTGATTTGGAAACCTCTGGCACTCAAGACCTTGTCTGAAATAACCTGGTGAGCAGGTTTATGTCCATGCAACAGCCCTGGACATGACAGTCCCCTACCGCTGTGCTCTCCTTTACCCTAAAAGGGGGGTTAGGGACAGGGTGAGCGGCGATTACAGCAGCTCCAGGTCTGGAACCCTGTTTTTCGCACGTACAGTTTGTTGGCTTCCCTGTGATAAAGGATTCAAGGATTCAGGATAACCCGGGAGCTGCCACCCAAGAGCTGCAGCCCTGAGCCATTTTAGCTGTACCCAGCAGAGGGCATCAACATGACTCCAGAAACAACCTGCAACAACCTGCCCCTTCCGCAGCATCCAGCCCTCCAGCTTGACCCAGCCACGGAGCCGGAAAACTCAAAACCGGACACGCTTCTGCAGCTCCTCCTCTGGATGCTCAGCAACCACATGGCGTTTTGGCAAACCCTGCTGCCCAGGGGCCAGCCCAGGACTGAGGACTGCCCTGCACCCACATCTTCCAAGTGCTGGGACCGTCACACTGCACCCATCAAACCGTGGCTGCCCAATCCCCCCGGGGCTGGCACCCACGGCACAGCCGGGGCTCAGCACCTGGATCTCGGTGTTGCCTCCGTCCAGCAGCCGGATGGCAAGCAGGATGCTCTCTTGGAAGATCTTCTCGTTCTTGGTGTTCATGATGAGGTCAGCCACCAACTTGGTGGCCCCTTCTCGGTCCAGCCGGCACTGGACAGCAGCGATAGCGGACCAGTCCTGGTCTTGGCCTGCAGGAGAGGACGGGGACAGATGTGATGCTGTGGTAGTGCAGGAGAACGAGCACAGCTAAATCACTGCTGGGGTATCTCAGTCCCCATCCCTTCATCCCCCCAAATCCTTTCCTCCCATGGAGGTGGGGGCATGGCAACCAGCTCCTCATCCCATTATGGCTGGGGAGCCGGGAATTCCAGGTGTGCGTGAGCAGCACAGAGGGACAGGGAAAGCGCCGGAGAGGGGCACTCACCTCCCCCAGCAGCGTCCACGATTTCCCCTTTGGAGCTGGACTTCTTGTTCTGCAGGTAATTGTTCAGGAGCATTTTCCGCAGCAGGTTGCCCTGCCAAGACAAATAAACGTCACAAGTGTCCCAACACCAGGGCCAGCGCTAGAGCAGAATGAGGCTGAGCACCCGTGGGCTGCAGCAGGGAGGGCGCTGGGAAACAGGGGCTGCGCAGACAAGGAGCAGTGCTGAGGACGTGCTGTGGGACCGTGGTGCTCACCCTCTCGCCATACTTGTTCCTCTTCACCAGCATCTGCTGCAGCGTCCTCAGCACCTTGATGCACAGCTTCTCCTCTGTCTCCATGAGGTCCTTGGTGTGCTGCACCAGCCTGGCACAGCAGAGTCACCGTCACACAGCGGAGAGGGACAAGGGGGTCTGTGAGGGAACCATCCCCACCATCCCTCCAGGGATGCACAAAGATCACCAGCCCTTCCCAGCACTCCCAACAACCCCTGGGCAATTGCAAAGCATCCTCACTTGGACAGGAATCCTCCACTCTCACATCGCTGAAACGCCTCCGTCCCCTCCATGAAAAGCAGCTCTGGTCGATGGAGGACATCCACCAGGACAGACAGCTCGGCCTCCACCAGTGGTTTCAAGCGATCTTCCAGGGCATTGATGATGTCCTACAAGTCACAGCACACACCTTGAGGGCCAAGGCATGCCTAGGAAACACGAGCACGGGAGAGGGACCCCTGCGACGCCAGGACCTTCTTGCTATCATGCACCGATCCACGCCACCATTGCCCCCCTGCCCCGTACCTGCAGCTTCTCTATGATGTTCTTGTAGTCCCACTGGTTGGGGGTAGTGGAGACGCGGGGGAAGGTCCGTGTGGCCGTCTTGTAGCTGGACGTGTTCCTCTGCACGGTGCTGGTGGAGCTGCTGTTGAGCAGGGAGCTGACGTGGGCGTCCAGGTCCATGGGCAGCGCGATAGAGCGGCTCTTGGC